TCATACGTTGTAAGGGGCAAATGACGGTGACTTTTGTCCACGTGTGTATGTATATATGGACACTTACAACCATAGCATGCTGAAGAATCCCTTTCTGTTATAATACAAATGCTGCAGTTCCTTCCTAGGTGCGACAATTTTAATGTGTGTACCATCAACACAGCCGATTATTCCTGGAATTCTACTTTTGTTATAAAAATGTGATTTTGCTTGTNGGTCCAAGTATATTTTCATTGCCAATGCTAAGTTGGTACGATCCCTGAGCACAAAATCGCAGAACTGTTGCTAGCTTTAAAACATGCGGAATAGATTTCGCTCGGGTGCATTGATTCAGCAGGTCTTCTGTAGTGGTCAGCACGTCCACAAACGCCTCTTTAGATACTCGGAAGTTTTTTATAAATCTTTAAACAAATTTCCTAAATGTTACATGTGTATGTCAAAACCTTTTTGGAAGGCCACACTTACGCAGTGGAATCAATTTCTAAGGGGTTGGAAGCGTCCCTCAACCGTTTCCTATTTCTGGCCAGCTCCACTAAGCTTTCATCTTCTGATGAATCGCCAAACCACAACTCCGTCGTACTCATTTTCATTAAGTTCTTATCGACTCGTTTTCTTTTTAATTTATTTTTATTTAGACAAATTTGTAAACAAACTATTTAGTTTTACGTTCTAATCAACTCGGTCTTTCTTTTATTTTAATTTGCTCAATTTGTAAACAAACCGTCTCAGCTGACAAAAATATACTATTGTGAACAACCTAAACGAGCGAAATTCACAATAGCGCTATTCTTCATCGAATGAGCGCCATAATACCAAATGAAAATTCGTTCGCTCAGCACTTTCGACCAGTCGAAAATCGAATGCAACTCATAATAGGGGCCTTAGTTATAATAACCAAGATTTGGTTACAGTGATCAAGTGGCATAGTTGGATATGGCGAAATAAATATATAGTTTACGAAAGTCTGCAATTTACTTAAGACTTCTAGATGGGACAAATGTATATTTGTTAATAATTTCAAAACGACTACCTTGATTGGACAATATTGGCCCTTATTATGAGTTGAATTCGATTTTCTACTTCGCTGGTTACACTGGACCACAAATTTCAACTTTTTCTCTTTACCAGAA